CATATCTCGTTTTAGATGCGTGCCACAGCAATCTCTTTGTGTTGCGTTTCGCGTTTTCCTGTCATAAATGCCGCCGCCGAACCTTTGTTACGTTTCCGCTTCACTTTTATTTTAATAATTCACCCAGCATTTATGGTATGTACACACATACTTTTATTTATAAGTGCTTCCTCTGCAGCCCCCTCGCTGCCACCCATTTTCCACCTGGCCACCGGACCTGCTCTCAGCCCGCCATTGTACACATCATAAATCTCATTTTTCCGTTTCCGTTCGGCCGCCCATTGCCCACCGATGTCCTTGATTGCGGACGCCTGAAAAGCGGACGTGGCAGTGAGAATTAAATATTTTCCAAGGCTTAGGCTATATAGCCAGCAGTCGTTTAATCGGATAAGGCCTTAATCTTCAGGCGCTGGCAACAAGTGAAGTTTAAAAAGAATTTCTTACAATCCGTTAGCCCATTTTCAAACCTCTAAAGGAGAGTTTCCCTACGAAGTCTCTCTTTCGTGGCGAGTGAGTTTCCATTTTTCACTCTTATACTTCCATTCAGCGGATATTTCCCTAAGGTCAAAGAGCAAATGTCCCGCCCTGCGTTCTGACTGGAAAGGCCAATTTTTCTCATTGAGTGAATTTCTATGATAAATACCCTTATTGAATTCTAGTTCTCTCTTATTTTGGGGGATATTTTCTCTTGGGAGGCCTTAGAGTCGGAAAGGAAACGAGCAACATTTTGTGGCCTACAATCGTCCGAGATTTGGGAACTTTACTGAGTGTAACTTTTTAAGGACATTTTTGTTGGTTTCGACCTCCTACACGAAATGCAAAAATATGGGATCCATCATTTTCTGACACACCTGATAAGATGGTATGAGATAGATTTTTGAATAGGGTTCCCCTAATCCCTTGCTAACAAAGCCTAAGATGGATTTCGAAATGCTTTGTGAATATATTCAATTTTCATTATTCATTAGTTGTGCCGAAAACGAGTTTCAAGTATCTATTAAAGAATGTTTATGAATATATAATGAATGTAGGACATAGATTTATTTTTAAGTTCATTTTTGTATGTAGATATTTCCCCTAATCTTAAAAGTATCAAAGGACTTGTTTAAGGCTAAAGGCAATTAAACTTTGAAGGATTCGTAAGCTAGTTAATTGACAATTTTTTTGTTTTAAATTTCTTTGTAACTGCAATTAACACAGAGACCATAAACAAAGTTTATGATTAATTTAGTTGTACTTTCATTCGTGCTTTTCAATTACGTTTAATACCCGAGATCTTATCCAAACCCACAACTCATGCAGATTAATTTAAACTGTCCCCACATGTCGTTTAGCTGATTCATTTTAACCTCTGCTTTTTGCCATCCAATAAAAAAGTGCAAAAATGTGCTGCGTATTTGCATTTGTTAATTGGCCTTATTTGCTTTCAAACATGACCAGTGGCGGTTTATTTTTGTCTCTTTTCCATTCGAATGTGACAAGGCAGATGTATTTTTGGATTCCATATTTGGAGTCCCTTTCGAGGTCCTTTCTTTAGCATACTTAGCGTCTGGGTGCGGCGTTTGTGTCAGTGGATGGATGACAAGTGCCCAAATGTCGCCCAAACAAAGGAGCAATGCGGCACAATGAGGATTGTGGATTGGAAATGAGGAATGGGACAAGGGCAAGAGGCACGGGCAATGAGGAGTGAGGAATGAGCCGGAGGAATGCCAGGCGCAGGAAAAAAGTTATGACACACCTACAGCATTTAATCTGAAGTCCTTGTAGTGGCTCTTCCCGGCGTCCAGTGAGTGATAACCATCAATCAAGCTGCTGCCGGTTAGACGGTAGGCGTTACACTGGCTTTTCCCGGAGCAGGGAGTCCGGAGTCCGGAGACCAGAGACCGGAGACCATGCCGGAGTTCATTTCAATCATTAGCGTGCCAAGTCAGCCAGCTCCTGTTGATGCTGTCAAATTAATAAAGAGCCCTGGATGACCAAGGGTTGGCCAACGGGAGGGAAACAGAAACCGAAACAGCCAACACCCAAAGTTCTATGTAAGCACGGGGAGAAAAAAGGAGTACCTTTACTTTCTAATAGAGTATAAAATATGTAAGAGAGATTACCAAACGTGTATGGATTTTAGCAACAAACAATACATTTCAATAAATAAGATAAGCAACTATCTTTCACGACGGTTTTCTTCACGTTTACGAAGTAAATACACTTTTTAACAGACCTTACTTACTGACTTCTTTAAAGTAAAAATAAAATCCAATATTTTTTACAGTGCCTCTTAGCCATTCCCACACGCTTTAAGTCACTGCCGCTCATAATACCCATAAAAAATTTGTCATCATTAGCCAGAGCGAATGACGCTGACGTACTGGGGTCCGCCCATCTATCAATGTGTGTATCTGTGGGCCAGTAGCGAGGACACTTTAAGATATTGCCCCTGTTTTAGGTCCTTTTGCTGCATATTAGTCAGCAGCTTAAAGCGTTCGATTGATTGATTATGCATCAGGGGGCAGTGGGCCACTGGGCAAAGGTCGCCAGCAGCAGCTTTAAGGCTTTAAGCCGTCCCATTAGGGTTATTAAACATGCCCCTTGTGTGTGTATGCCGCTCGTATGTGAGCTATTAGAAACGATAATGGATTGCGAATATTAATTTCTTTGCATGACGAAAAGAATCAACAAAGAACAATGCGCTTAATCTTTATAGACACGCAGCCGCAGGAGCGGGACGGACAATGCCTTGTGCCAATAATGATAACCGGAAGCCATTAAAGGAAGTTTCAATACAAGAAACACTCTCCCACGCACACACTCGCACACAAACGCATGAATGCCTCCATAGGCAGCTTAAGGCTCTGCACTTCCTTTTGTGTGTATGTGCACTGGGAGAAAAGCGGCGGACTAAGGTCAAGATTAACCTGTTTCGATGGGTTAGCTTTCACGTGTTACTATAGCTGATAAGCTACGGAAAATGATTACAGTTATAGCTAAAAGGATAATATTTATTTATATACAACTTCTAGTTAAGGGATGATTTCAGCTTATTTTTAATATAATCTCTTCCCTTTTCCGCACAGTGCATGCTGCGTGTGGTTGTAGTTGTGCCTGTTGTTTGCCTTCCATTTCCATTGCATCGTCGACGCGTCGGCGGCAGCGGCAATATTGTAATTTTTATTCCTCTTTGTGCCATTCAGGCGGCTTGCAGCAAAGGGGAATCCTGCGAAAGGAAGCCGTCCTGCAAGTCGAGCGTTCAATTCCCTTTCAATAAGGAAGTGGATGTGGGAGTGGGTGGGCGGTTGGATGGGCGTGGGCCACCGCACACGCACCTTGCAATCTTGCTAATGTTTTTCTAGAGAGCGCGTCTTAAGACCCGACTGCAGTTTTCAGTTTGTGCTCGGCAAACAGCCGTCGGGGCGATGCGGAAGTCAGGTTGCAAATCCGACCCTGGCTTAGGTCATACCGCTATAATGCCGCACCACCACACTATGGCCATTATGCAGGCCGTAAGGCAGACGCCGGAGTTGAGGCGCCAAGATTTTCGGGGAAATCAAGGGGAATGGGTGAACCATCAATGGCACACACTCGCATTTTCAATTGATTAAACATCAAACGCACAGGCATGTAACACCGTGTTTGAGGTTGGGTGGGCTTGTATGTGTATGTGTGTGTGAGTATAGCCTGCATTTTTTACGTGCCGCAGAGCAAAAATGCCGGGGAATATTATCCGAGAGCATTATGTTGATGCCGATATATACTAGCACAATATGAAATTCCATTGCATTTTATAGGCAGGCAGGCAGCCAAGGAGAAGACAACGAAAATACAAAAAACAGAAGGAAGAGTGTGTGTTTGAATGTTTCGACTAAGAGGTACTCATTACTTTGTTTTTTACCACAAGACATGGTGCATACTTCTTGGCGTCTTGGTTAGCAGTGTGTGGAATAATATTAAACTTATATTATTATTTGTCATCAAGACGTTCATAGTTTCAGCATACCCCCACAATGGGTATGGGAAATCAAACACACACAAGGCAGGAACACAATGGAAGGCAGTAAAAACCTGCGGCAGGCCATTGTGAGGCATAAACAAAAGATGCAGCAGATGGAAGGCGGAGCTGCTGGATCGGCCAGAATAACAAAATACCGCAGACAAAAACCGAAAGCTGTTCGAGCGTGGAAAAGGTGAGGTCCCATCCCATTTTCCATCTCCCATTCCTTGGCCCAAGTACAAGTGAGTAGTTTTAGTTGGGGATTGGCCTTTAGAAATGTGGCAAAGCAAAATTTATAGCTTGGAAATTAATAACAAAAAGCACACAATGAACTAGTGCATACATATATATACCCGCCAGGCCATCCAAGGGGTCCTGACTAATAACGTTCCGCACTCTGAAGTGTATTAGACAACAGTGCGTATGATGAATGCCATCGAAGGACTTTCGAAACAAAGGCGTATAATTGTATGCGAAAGGTGGCCACCCAGTCATAAAAGGGGAAGGCGAAGGACGAAACTTTATTGTGTTAATACTGCGGTTTCCTAACCCAGGGCGAAGAAATCTTGGGCAAAATTCTTCTGGAATGCTCCCATTGTGCAATAAGTACAGGAATGCAAACAATGTGAATTTCTTGGGGCTCGAAGGCTCTCCAGACCTTAAAATATTAAGCCGCTTAGTGAATTTGGAATTCTTAATTGCAGACCAGGAGTAAGGTGAATTCAGATTCTCAAGGGTTAGCCTTGATAGCTGTATTCATATCTAAGTGTTATTAAGTAAAAATTTTGTACAAAGGTCCCTATGCTATAAATATAGTAACTTAAATCCATGAACAAAATGTTTATAACTCAGATGGTAATACTACAAAATTGCAATTGTAACGATTAAGCCCCTTAATTACTCAATTGCTTGCTAATTAAGATAATTGCCGCGGCCTTTGCAGTCATATGGATTGTCAACACAAATATTTTCTCATAAAAGTACGGAACAGGTCATTCAAATCAGTTACATCACGATGAGCTATCCTGTGGCAGTGAGTCCTGCAAGCCGCTTTCGCGAGCTATCCAAGAACATCAATAGCTTGACTAATCTCCTCGGCGTGGATGTGCTGGCACCCAAATTGGAGTTTAACTACCGCACCTGGACCACAATCTTTGCGATTGTAAATTATACGGGCTTCACTGTTTTTTCCATACTAAATAATGGCGGTGACTGGGGTGTGGGCCTCAAGGCCAGCCTAATGGGCGGCGGACTATTCCATGGACTCGGAAAGTTCCTGACTTGCCTGCTGAAACACCAGGACATGAGGCGTCTCATATTGTACACTCGTAGCATTTACGAGGAGTACGAGAATCGGGGGGAATCTTACCACCGGACCTTGAATTCCAACATCGATCGATTGCTCGGCATCATGAGGATCATTCGGAATGGATACGTCTTCGCCTTTTGCCTGATGGGCATCTTGCCTTTGGCCATGTTGATGTACGATGGAACCAGGGTCACTGCCATGCAGTACTTGATTCCAGGACTTCCGCTGGAGAACAACTTTTGCTATACAGTCACGTACTTGATTCAGTTGGTAAAAACCATGAAAAAATGTATTTTAACCGTAAATTAATGGCAATTTATTTCGTACTAGGTAACGATGGTTGTCCAAGGCGTTGGTTTCTATGCCGGGGACTTATTTGTATTTCTTGGCTTGACCCAAATATTAACCTTCGCCGATATGCTTCAACTAAAGATAGACGAACTGAATCAAGCCCTGGAACAGAAGGCAGATAATAGAGCGCAAGTGAGAGTTGGAGCTCGGATTTATGGCGAGGAAAAACGGCAATACCTTCTCTTGGAAGTGATCAAATGGCACCAACTTTTCACAGAGTAGGAAATCTAAAAATTGCACAGCAATCATTACCTTTGAATAATGAATTAATATTCTATACATTTTAGCTACTGTCGCATGGTTAACGCCTTGTACTACGAATTGATTGCAACTCAGGTTCTGTCCATGGCTCTGGCCATGATGCTCAGCTTCTGCATCAATTTGGCCAGCTTTCACATGCCATCGGCCATCTTCTTCGTGGTTTCCGCCTACAGCATGTCCATCTATTGCATTCTTGGCACCATCCTTGAGTTTGGAGTGGGTGTTGTGTTCTGTAACCCAATTTAATAGCTATTAACAGGCTCTTATACTTCTCCTTCAGTATGACCAGGTCTACGAGAGCATCTGCAATGTTACCTGGTATGAATTGAGTGGCGACCAGCGAAAACTGTTTGGTCTGATGTTGCGGGAGTCCCAATATCCGCATACTATACGGATTCTTGGGGTTATGTCATTATCCGTGAGAACTGCTCTGCAGGTGCGAGATGTGGAATTCTATTCTTAGATATTCTCACTATTATTTAATAATTTTGCAGATTATAAAGCTAATTTACAGCGTGTCCATGATGATGATGAACCGCACTTAGAAAGCGAAGCTATAAGCCTTAAAAAAAATCTGTTTACTAAACATACTTTCAATACGCCACAATAATTAGTTTGAGAGCATGTCCTATACTAAAAACAGAAGTGAAGTAAATTATTACACAGTAATGCATTACATATGCTAACACATATATAGTAGTCGCACTTCCTTAGGCAATATTTTCAATCACAAGTTCTTAAGCAGCATTTTGATCCTTTCCACAAACGAGCCCCATTTCACAATGCTTTCAATTACTATTAAAATATGGCAAAATATGCTTAATATGCAATGCGAATGATTTGATTTATTGACAAAACAAAGAAATGGAAATATTTGACAAAAAGAAACAGGTGGTCCAAGGCCTCATCAAATACTTTTTTAATTAGGACTTAATAGTAACTTACAAAAAAGTGGTCAGTGGAGCAAATCAAATGGATTTAAAAATCCGTTTGGTTAATCCAAGCTTAACCAGCGTCCAGAATCGGACTATAAGTTTTTTTTGGGCTTCCTACGATTGTGCTCCTGATGAACTCGTCCTGAGGGTGTTTTTCCCGCTGCCATTAACCTTGGCCACTAATTACCAGAGCACAGAGCTGAATTTATGGCATCGGTTTATGGAGCCCCCGACTCGAATGCATTAATTGTGCGTCTCATTAAGGGGAGTTTCTTATGCACAAAACATTTAATATATTTCGCATACAGGCATAAAAATTTTAATTTATTTTGAAATGGTTCGCTCGGCCACTTCCCCAATATTTGGCCAACGGAGTTTAATAGCCCCTGACCGGGCCATGAATAATGGGCGTTTTATAAATGTGGCCGGGACAATGGCCCGGATGCTTGGATAAAAAATAATAACAATAATTGTAACGTTATTATAATGCAGTTGTAATTAAGTACACCGCTGTCGTATATGCCGCCATCCAATGACCATAAAAAACGAAATGATTTTAATAAAATCAACAGTCGGAAGGTCAGAAAGGAGCAGGATCAGAGCAACAGTTTGGCCAGCGGACTCAACGACCTCTTCGACCAAAATTTACGACCGTTTCACATTCCATAATTTACTCATTTTTCATGCGCTATTTAATTACGCTAAATAATGGCCGCAACGGGTTGAGCTGCTATTTGTTTATTTATCTCCAATGATGCCCATCTGAAATTTAACCAAAATGCATTTCACAATTTTGGCAAGATTTCACCCTCACCAAATGTTAGCCATCAATATCAAAAATGTGTTATCCTTGTGAAATGTTCAGATATGAAACCGCAAAATAAAATCAATTGTTCGAATTTTATACCAGAAAATAGCACCAATGGAAAAGTAAATGGTTTCTTCTCGTTCGAAATTAAATACTTGCTGGTAAGGAACTGATCTTTATACTGATTGACCTTATCTGGATTAACAGGATTAATCGAAGTAGAAATTATTTAAGCAAATTATAGTTTTCTACTTTCTTGATCTCTTTACTGGATATAAATTAGAAGAAACGCTACAAAATCATTGAAAACTGATCTTTGAAGTTCTGCGAATGAACCGAAGAGCCAGTCCTGTTTCCCATCAGGTAATGCAATTTTGCCGCTTGTTGGCTGGCAGATAACAAAACTCATTTACAGCCTGTCCACCGCAATGACACAGAATCGTGGAATCGGCGGAAAGTGGGGCCACTCGGCACTCAGCTCGAGGCTCTTAACGTCAAGACACTTTGTATCAAATGCACCGGCACCGTCAGCCAGCCATCGTGCCATGCAATACATTTTCTAATGCTTGTTTTGAATCATATTTAGGGGCGGGCTAGGTGCGGTAGGTGGGTGGCTGGCGGCTGGTGGCGGCCAGGTCGCCAGCTGGCAAATAAAATAAATTAGTTGCAGTTGAAAGGTGGCTCAGACACAAAAGTCAACACGCAACGCGCGATGGAACCGCAAACAAACGCCAGCTGCTGGGCGCAGATAAAGTGGCAGGCAAACACGCCGAAGGAGCAGGATGGAGGAGCTGTAGACGCGCTGGAAGGACCTATGGCAAATCAGCTGCCAGCGCAGCGCAGCTTACTGGCAAATATTAAAATGCGAATTTTTATGCTCGCTGACACTCGAGCCTCCCACTTTGCCACCCCAACTTTTACCTCTGAAAGCATAATTCTCACTATGCGAAATGTGGGCGAATGTTCTCTGTTCGCAGCACTGAAAAAAAATGCCCATATTTTTTGAAAGTATACCTCATTTTGATATATACTTCTATGTTTAAATGAAGTTTATAAATTTGTGAAATAAAATGGCACTCAATAATAATTGCAATGAAAAAGAAGATAGCTCTGTATGTAAAGTGAATCTCTTCAATACTTTTTCTAGAAATATTTTTTAATAAAAATAATTCATTTATACTTCCCACCAGAAATTGCCCAAAATTGTGGTTTAAAAGGAATTTCTCTGATCTTTGTATCATCTCAGAAAAGGACATTGAATATTTTCCGATAAAGTTATAATATTTTGTCTTCCCCATTCAGGTCATCGAATCGATTACCAACAAATAAAATATTAAAATTATTTGCCGTGTTTCGGCTGCTAGAAGTTATTTCCTAGCTAGCTGCTCCTGGCTTCTGGCTCCTGCCGTATCCTTTCGCCAGCATTTTCTTGCCGCGTGCGCACATAAATTAGCTGCCAGGCTAAGAAATGGCGGCGGGCAGCAAAGGTTGTCCCAACTCAGACCAACTCAGGCCAGCTCAGCCCGCTCCCCCCGCTGCGGTTTGTTGCGCCCTGTTTATGCGGGTGCTGCCGGTGGGTGCATTAAACCAATAAATCAGCGAGCCACTGCAAAAAGCACAAAAACCGAGCAAACTGTTGTCAGGCACTCTTTGAGCCACCAGCGTGGCTCCGCATATTTAATCAATATGGTGAGCACAAAACATGAATTAATCTTGGCGCCCTTTAAAGCGCTCCGCATTTTGCGTTCTTACATTTTTACATTTTTACGGACACAGCGGACACACAGGAAAGGGGCCTTTTTAATTTAGAGAAATTCTTGCGGCCATAAAAAGCTTGTCGGGCAAATCAATTAAATTTAAATTGTATCCCATTAGAGCCACATTAAATGAGTTAAGTCATTTGGGGGACCGCGTGCCGCGTCTTAGCCTTCTTTTATGCGGCTTTGAAAAGGGTACAAATGAATTCATTTTATTTTTTGACGCACATAACCGCCCCTTGTCCCAAATCACCGGAACCCAACCCATCCCCAACCCAACCGCCATTGGACGCAATTAAAATGCCCACGAGCTACTAATTTGCCATGAAACGGCGGGTGGCTCCCGTCCGAAAAAAGCCCCGAGGCCCGATTTTAAAACGCTGTCGAAATTTAAGAGTTGATGGCTATTAATTTATATTATGCATGATTTGTGTAGCATTTTTCTGATGGCACAATCGCTTTTGGGCAACGGCAGCACCAACTGCCGACTGTCGGTTCCCAGAATGGCCTTCTGCATTCTGCGGTAGATGCCATTTTCCAGTTTTGAATGTGCGTCGGAGATGTTTATGCAAATGAGTGAAATATTTGGGTCATGCAGCTGAAAAGGATCGCCACGGACTGGCGAATGGGATGAAACTAAACCTTAAACGTTGAAATAATTACACAGATTAGGCAAGGGGGAATGCCGAATGCGAATTTATCAATGGACATTTGAAAAAGGACGAAAGAAAATTTTCAAATTATATTTAACTTTAAATATGAGGCTGGGAATAAATTTAAAAATAATATTATTACCATTAGGCTACTTAAATGTTTTAATAAAACAAGAAATGTGCAGGGAAGGAGATTAAAAATAATAAAAGAAAATCTACTGACGGAAAAGAAACAAAACCCTGGAAACTTTTAGATATTACAAAAAAAATGTACCGAAATCGTATAACTTTACACAAACTTTTACTCGACAAAGTTCTTTCTTTTGTGTGGAACTAAGGTGGTTTTCAATAAAAAAATTCGAATTATTTTTGATATTACATAAACGTACTATTGTGAAACAAGAAGATAGTTTCATATCACTACCTAAGTCCCGAGTTACAACTTGGAAGGTCGAGTCACTTTCAAGCCATATTCATTCCAACCCTCCTGTCATTCTATATAAATTAGGCAATTTGCTGTCCTCATGTGGTGGTGGCGTGGTCGCTGCCATCGTTTATGGCCAACGCCCCCTGATGCCGAGCCATCTGTCGGAGGAGATTTGTAGCGACAGGGACAACGGCAATGACATCGACTTCGCCAAACCGACTGAATCTTTTTGCCCCTTCGAACATCGTTCTTCCCCGATCCTGTCCTGCCAGCCATTTTCCGCTGATGTCTGCCCAAAACTTCAAGCTGGCCAAGTAATTATCGAGCTCCCGGCATCCGCCGCACTGCACTTGGCTCCCAGCTCAAGGCTCACAGCTCACAGCTCAAAGCTCACAGCTAAGCAAAGTCGAAGCGTTAATGCTGCGTGTCGAAAGCAAACTTTGATGGCTTAATCACTTCGGGGGTCTAAAAAGGGAAGCGGGGGAGCGGGAATCGGAGGACTTGCTCCAGTTTGCTATCAGCTTGTTATTTGCTTTGGGGGATTTTAAAGTGCACGTGTTTACCAGGCAGCGTCTTAAGAAGCTCCAGCTAAAAACGTGTCTGAGGGCAGTCAAAACTGCACAGAGACAAACTTTTTGTTAGTTTCAGTGATTGAATACCTTTTGGAATTTTTGAATTTGCAACTGAATTGGCCTTAGCTGAATTTCTCATAAAACATCAACCAATGTAACACAAATCTTTCAGTTGTTTACTGAAAAGGATAAAGAAGTGCTTGAGGTAAACAAAATGGTCTTTATGTAAGCTGACTCGCAGTTATTGCTTCGGGAATATATCATGAACTATCTTTAATTTTGGAAACTTGTTCACTAAACTTTTAAAGTTTTAAAAACGCTAAACATCTTTCACCATATAATGTTCTAAGTGGAATTTTTTTGCTGTGTGCGATGGAAAAGGGGAGCCAGCGGCTGCAGCACTCGGTGCACAGTCAAAGTCATAAAACCATTTAATTATATTAA